TTTTATATATTCATAGATATATATTTAAGTCGTGAATTTTTTATATTATATGATTATATGGCTAAAAATATGTTGTTTCAATCAAATATGTCATATATTATTTCAGTTAAAGAATATAAACCACCAAAAAATAGAAAAGTAGTTAAGATATATGTCATAAAATAATGTGATTTATTATATTTAAGAAAAACAAATCAATATATTTACACACAAAATTCATAAATATAAATAATTTATGGAGGATTGAAGTTTATCAATATTTAGTATAGCATCCATTATTCTCGGAACAACTTTTTGTTTGATTTGCAACATTAATTTGAATGAAAAAAATCCATAATTGTTGGAATATCTTGATTCAAAATCTCAATTTTTTGGCATAAGAATCTTCAAAATTGTTACCAATAAAAATGGGATTCGTATTGATGAAATGAATTAAAGTTTGACATAAGAATCTCCAAATTTGTTACCTTAACAATCTCCAATTTTTATGGGATATCACATTAAATTTGATTCCTAAAGAAAATAAGTTGTTTCAATCAAATAATTCATATATTATTTCAATTAAAGAATATAAACCGCCAAAAAATAGAGAAGATGTTAGGATTTAGGTCATAAAATAATGTAATTTATTATTATCTAAGAAAACCAAATCAATATATTTACACACAAAGTTCATAAATATAAATAAATTATGGAAGATTGGAGTTTATCAATATTTAGTATAACATCCATTATTCTCGGAACAATTTGTTGTTTGATTTGCAACATTAACTTGAATGGAAAAAAAAAATCCGTAATTGTTAGGATATCTCAATTCAAAATTTCAATTTTTGCCATAAAAATATCCAAATTTGTTACCTATAAAAATGAGATTTGTATTTCTGAAATGAATTAAATTTTGACATAAGAATCTCCAAATTTGTAACCTTAAGAATCTCAAAATTTTTTGGGATATCTCACTTAAATTAATTTCCTAAAGAAAATAAGTTGTTTTAATCAAATAAGTCAAATATTATTTCAATTAAAGAATATAAACCACCAAAAAATAGAAAAGAAGTTAGGATTTAGGTCCTAAAATAATCTAATTTAGTATTATTTCAGAAAAACAAATCAATTTATTTACACACAAAATTCATAAATATAAATAATTTATGAAGGATTGGAGTTTATCAATATTTAATACAACATCCATTATTCTCGGAACAATTTTTTGTTTGATTTGAAACATTAATTTGAATGGAAAAAAATTCGTAATTGTTGGGATATCTCAATTCAAAATTTTAATTTTTTGGCATAAGAATCTCTAAATTTGTTACCAATAAAAATGAGATTCGTATTTATGAAATGAATTAAATTTTGGCATAAGAATCTCCAAATTTGTTACCTTAATAATCTCCAAATTTGTTACCTTAAGAATCTCCACATTTTTTGGAATATCTCACTTAAATTTGATTTCTAAAGATTCACATGTGATTTTTTCAAAATTTCCACTAATAGTAAGTCAACACTTTATTTTTAAATTTAAAGTTACTATTTTTGTATTTTTCCAACAACCTCTTTATATTATTATAGATTCATTATCAAAAAAATTGGATGTTCCTAAATTAATGGGTTTTAGATGCTTTCAAAAATTATAAATCATTTAAAATTGGATGGTTCCTAAGTTAATGTTTACAAACTTTTCAAAGTTGTAATCTTTATGGCATCTTTTCTTTTTGACTTTTAATAATAAAATCATTTTAAATATATATATNTCTTTTCTTTTTAACTTTTAATAATAAAATCATTTTAAATATATATATTCTAATCCAAAAATTCAATCATGTTAAAATATATATTGAACGTTAAAAATATTCTTTAAATTGCATATCCAATCAATTAATCTTGATTTTTTTTTAAATTACTGTGTTTATTTTTTATTAATATGCATAAAATAAAAATAAATAATTCATCTTTTAATATATAATTTACAATCTTAATATACTA